TGGTTATCAGATCAGTCTTTCCCTTTCCTTGTTAATGCTGGAAACATTTTGGAGTTTGAAAGGATCCCCAGAGGCAGCCACATTATGTGCTTCTCCAGTGCATTGTTGACTTCTGCATATTTTTATAACCTTAATTTCTAATATGTCTTTCATTCAGGTAGCATCCCAAAATCCTTCATATTGGAAAAATTTTAAGTGGCTTCAAAAGCAGATCCCATATTAGCTTCATAAAGTTTACAACTATTGTCTTTTTAGTGAGAATATGGCAGGGACTTTCCACCTCAGTCCTTTAAGACAGGAGACACTGTCTCTAGGCGTAGGCATCCTTTGGCCACACTTCTGTTTATTACTGCTAAATGATCATTGAAAGACAGAGAAATATTGTTGCAAAGATGAGGAAAACATTCTGACTTTTAAAGATGTCAGTAGAATTTTCCTTTTAAGTTAGAAGACTTGATAAAGCTGAGGGGGTATATGCAGGTGAATTCTATTTCATTTAATGTGATCTACCGCCTGCTCCAAACTTACTTGAAATAAATGTCAGCCCAGTTTTATAGTAATATTATATTTAATCTACTCCCTGACACAGCCTTAATCATGGAAGCACTGAGCTCAAAGTGCTGAATCTTAACGTTAAATTAGCTGGTACAGGGTTCTCAAACTACGCTCTTGTGACTGGTGACTCAGAAGTCTCCTCAGGGAGTCTAAAGAGTAATTTTTTATTTTCAGTTGAAACAGTAGGGAGCAAGGAGTTATTAAGGAAGGTGTGCCAGGAAAGAATCTTCTGTGGTCATCTTGTCATCCAGAAAGGAAGCATTGTACAAGCACTGCATTTTTAAATGTATATCATATCTGCTAGCACTCACTAGTTCAATAGACACACAGTTTGCTACCTCTAAAGTGGGGCTAACTATCGCAGCGCTCCCAAGAGAGCTGCTGGGTGTAAACCTTTTGCCAGGACGCCTGAGGCACTCCCAGTGAGCAAGCCGGGATCGCGGAGCGTCCCGTGCAGAGGTGTGGGCAGCTCACCTCCCTCCCTCTGCCCCTGCCTCGCTTCTCCTGGGGTGCCCCTGCCGAATGGAAGTGCTGGGACTGAGCATTTCAAATAGCTGTGTGAACGCTGCACAGAGACAGCCGAGCTGTTAACAGAACTCGTACAGAACCTGTTCACATACTTTTTTACTATATTGTACTCACCATGTCACTTTATAGCCATGCACAGGGCTCATGCTTCAGACTGAAATAAGCATTTAAATGGCTTTGAGTTGAAAACTGACATTTGTAAGGAAAAGGATTTGTAATGTGATTTAATTGATATATGTAATCACAAACCAAAACAAAACATCACTGTTATGTACTATAAATTACTCCTTTGTCTTCTACAAAATGGAATTTGTTTACATGCCCTGAAGCCATAATGAGAGAACAGAATAAATGGCAACTCCTCCTTGGCTTATTTGAAAAAAAGAGTCAGGAAAGGGAGGAAGAGAGCGGCCATAGGGTTATGAGAAGGAAGAGATGAATGCTCAGATAAAAAGCAGCCCAAGGGAAGGTTACAAGATCTCAGAAAAACAGATCAATAATTATGTTAACTATGTGGCTGCAAATACAACTATTTGCATTTTGAAAACATTTTTCCCTACTCCTTCACTCTGAGCAGGCTGTCTAGAACACTCTCTGCAACAGACATATCACCTTCGGAGGGGCAGTATTTCAATGAGAAGTTAAGATCCTGAGGATGCTGCCACATTTCTTCAGTATAGGACTACTAGAAACACCAGCTCACCTTCCCCTCCTATTGCTTGCTCAGTAAGATGCAAGGATCTAAGACTGCTCTAATTTACAAGTGACTCTCAAACAGCTTTCCACTGATTTTGTCTCTTCCCTTTTCCCTCCCTTGACCTTTCACCGTTTGGTTCCCTTGGGAAAACCATGACAAATTTCCACCTGGAAATTTCAGTCTCAGTGTTAGTTAGTCTCTTTTTGTTGGTGGTGATGGCCTTTCCTCTCCATCCTCTTTCTCTTCACTACACTGAGACTTTTGACAAGGTCAAACAATTCATCTTTGTTTCTATATTTATACCTGGGAAGCTCCCTTCAGCAGCTGACAGCATTTCAGATAGGACAGTTTGATAAAAACAGCAGATAAGAAAGCTCTTGATACAGAGACCTGTCCTGGTAGACTAAAACATATGTTTAAAATATTAAAACAGCCTTAGTCTTCATACTCAGCTCCATGGTGTTTTCTGACCTCAGAATAAACACTACTTAATGGCTCCACAAAATAAAAGCTATCCTAAACAACACTCTACATTAGCTTGCCAGCTTACTGAAACAAGACAAAGTGGCTTTGTTGTGCGTTTTGCACTGAGGACTGCAGTGTAATAGCAAAGGCTAACACCAAAAGAAGACACAAAGTGCAAATGCAATGATGAGGGGTGACTGAGCCAAAGAAAGTCAATAAACATTAACTGGAAGGAATAAACTCAAGGGCCAGTGGAAGCAATCCTAATTGAATATATTGGTTACGTATATTAGAAGATAAGTAAAAGACACAAAGAAGTGAAACCTAAATGCTGATAGTACTTACTGGCAATATGATGATAAAGTGATCAAGAGAATTGAAATAAGTTACTAAGGAAGTCCTGAAAAAGAGGGAATTGTAGGAAACTAGAGATGGAAATGAGGTGGGTGAGTTAAAAAATGGCCGTTAAGTATTTGAAAGCAAATGGAAAAAATAGTCATGGAAACCTTTCTGGGAAAGAAAAAAGTATGTCTACCAGCACAAGAAAGGTAGACAGAATCCTCTGGCAACAGTTGTTACAGAAAGAGGGAAAGTTAAATTAAAGCAAGCAGTGGCTTCTCTTGGCTCAAGCCAGAACGCTGACTGCTCTGCAAGAACAAGTGTTTGCTTATGACAGGATACAATGAAATGCTTATGGTGTGGCACTGTCCCCAGGAAGACTGGTGTTAATGTCAATTAAAGCTACGCAATGGCCAGAGTTTAAACCTCAGTTCTTATTTACTCTTATTTATATTTTGGGTTATCTTATCTAGAAAGAAGGAAATTACTTTAAGGTCAAGCAGCCCAGATTTGGTTTTGGTTCAAAAGCATCACAGATCATCTGGTGAAGCAACTGTACAGTAAGTAGGTGTTTGCTACAGGCAGTGTCAGCTTATAAGTCTATCACCTCCAATTCTTCAATCTTCCTTTGAAATTGTACCTAACAAATTGTTTTTATACTGATCCACAAAGCATCCCAGAATTCATAAGTTACATGGTGACTGTGTGAGCAGCATGGGTATCCCAATGTCATGCACACAGACCATAGAGGTTTTTTTCTATGAAAGACTTCAGGAGGAGTTTTAAAAGTTGGCTTTGAAAAAACTCTTGCCTTTCATAGGCTGTTTCACATACAATGCAGTCACCTGCAATCCCTGCCAAGGAGGTCACTGCAGTGCTGGAGTCACCTGCACAAGCATCAGCCCCTTCTCAGGGACCTCTCTGAGAAAGTCTTTTACCAGACCAAAAGTGCAGGATTCCCTTATCACATCTTTCTATGGGGACAGCATAAATGGGCTGTAGCTGATCCTTGAGAATTTTCTTCTTTTTGTTCCTCCAGGGGATATAGAGTTTGGGGGTTTTCTTTTCAAGAAAAATGCCACCCCACCCCCCCACCCCCATCAAGGGATACACACAGCCACAGTTTCAAAAATAACATTTTTTCACTTTCCTTTCCTGCTTTGCCTTTCTTGCACAAGGAGAAACCCTCGGGTTTAAAACATTGTTAGGCTTCAAGCGTGAATTGTCCGAATCTGGTTTTCCTTATTATTTATTTGAATTCTCACAGTAACTAATCTCCAAATGTAGCACAGGTAGTAAGCGCTGTAATAATATCACCTAGGAGGTGCCTCTCTGCGTTTGCATTGGTGAAGTGGATCCTAGTAAGACAGTAACATAAGTTATTCAATGTCAGCAGAATCTCAGAATTATGCACTACGGAATAACCTCTAGATTAGAATTGTGTTTTTCACCTGATTGCCAGGTTGAGGGATTTTTGCCTTGCACTAGCAAGGGCCATTAGATCTCTCCCACTTGTCCCTGACTGTGGAGATTCACTTGAAAATAACTTGATGACTCTTACCCGCAAAACTTCCTTATCTAACCATATCTGAATCACTTTGAAAGGAGCTACATTTCTCTTAGCAACAGGAGAATGAGTCTTAGCAACCAGGCAGCTGGAGAATTCTGTTTTCATGTAGTTACTCATGGACAGTACGTTCTGCTCTCTGCTTTTCCCATGGCATTGCTGTTCCAGTGTTGAGTTAGTAAAGTGTAAGAAATGGTACAAATCAGACACTTGCTCACAGCAAAGACATCACTTGCAGGGCAAATGATCATCTTTCTACCTTTGATGCTGTTTTCTTCAGGAGGCAGTGCAAGAGTACTGACTGTTGGAAAGATCAACATTTACATTTTCCCCAGGACAGAATTACTACAAAGTGATGCATGAGGAAGCTGACAGCTTCCAAAACTTTTACTTCCCCCACAGAAACCACAGGAGAGAAAGTATTAGCTCTCAAGTCTCACATCTCAGCCTCTCTTGGCATCTGTCCATGTTGAGAATAGTTAGAAAAAACAATTATAATGTGACTTTTAGATTTCTTCCCCATATTTTCTTAGCAAGAATGACTTTGGTAGAAATATTATAGCAGGGGAAACTGGGAACATGGGTGCAATTGCCATTTTAGTTATTACCTGGGCTGATGTCTTTACAGGACTGCTGTCAGGAAGCTGGGGAAGCTTCCTGAGGAAGCAATGCTACAATGGCATTTATGAACAGAGAGTAGTGTGGTGGCTTCCATCTCTCAAGCCCATATCTGTGTAAGGAAATGGGTTATTATATGTATTTTGATCCTACTAAGAAATCCAAAGTGCAGGTAGAAATAGTAAACGCACCCACACCTCACCCATGTTCCTCCTCTGTCTCCTCCTGTAGGGGCTGTTGGCATACTGCATGCCCATTTGATTACATCACTTGTACTCAAATTGAAGACTGAATCGGATGAAATCCAGGAGCTAATCCTCGACACACTCTCCCACTGTCTCCATGTGGAGGCTTCTGAAGCTCTACCAACTGGTGCCGTTACTATCCTGAAGGAAAAACTCACACACTCATCAGTGGCCATCAGAAGCAAAGCAGCTTGGGTCCTATTGGCAATTGGGTAAAGGAAAAGAAATCTGTCTGTAATACTTAAACGCAAGAAAACACTCATTTCACAAGTGAATCAGTGTCATTAGTTTATAGGTGTGTCCCCTACACATTGAAACTGTCACATTTCACACAAAAAGTAGCATCAGCCTGAATGGACACATTGGCAGAGGACTTCTAAAAGTTCTAACTGCCATCAATCAGTTAAGAAAGTAGATCCTGCAGATGAGGAAATGTCATCCCTCCTCTTCTATTTGTCTTCAGCATTGGCAATGAAATCAGGATTTTTTCTTGGTACAGCCCTGCTGAGAAAAAAATTCTTGCATGAGAAATCATGTGAAAACAAGATTCTGACCGCTATGGAGGTAGGGAGAAGTTCCTTTATCTTTTTGGACAACCATTCTCACAGAAAAAAAAAAAAAAAAAAAAAATTAAAGATCCTGGGAAACTTTCAGTGTGATTGAGGACAGAAATAGTTTTCTGGCACAGACTGCTACATACGTCAGTGATGGATCAGAAAAAAGCAATCTTTATATTAAATTTGTGTATCAAACACTAGATGAAAGGAACAACTTAAGTCCACTGTCCTGCAATTACAAAATATAATCAAAGTGCTCAACAGATGTCTAGTCTATAAGGGTCTGCAGATCATGTAGTTCACATACCAGTTGGCACAACACACTTCCTGATGTCCTCTAGCAGAGCGAGGTCCTACAGGGAGAGCGAGTGTAGAAAATGAGCCATAGAAAGAAAGCAGAAACACAACTGGAGTATGGACATCAGCTACTTCCCAGGTCCTGCAGTAGCTGGGGCATGTTAAATATTCACCACATTAGAGAAGCTGGAAGGAGAGAGAAAAAATTAACCTGGAAGAAGAATTGCTTGTAGGCACCTAATTTGACAGGGTTTAAAATCTATGTAGGGCTCAACAGCCCAGTTTCTAACTCGTTTGCCTTTGGGCCCATCAGCACACTTAATCCTACATCCCGTTACACGCTGCTGCCCATCAATCTCCAGCGTGTCATAGACAGAAAAATAAAAATTCAAACAGCACCTAAAGATAGGCTAAAAACATGTTAAGCCTGCAGCCGTGGGTTGACATGATACCACCAGTAGTGGCTCAGCAGGCAGGTTGAATGGAGCCCCTGCACAAGCAGCCAGCCCCTGGCTGTTCCCCTGGCTGGGTGGCAGTGCTTGCCATCCGCCGTGACTGCAGAGAACAGCCAGGGGACTGGCAGCAGCACTGCCAGGGAACGCAGGACTGCAGGGGGAGACGCTGTGGGTAGCTGCATGGGTAGCAGACACACATCAGGAAAGCACCTTGACCATCTTTTCTGCACAGTACTCATCCAGAGGGAAAAAACGTTGTATGTGAAGAAGTTGTCCCCGTGCTGGTGAGCCTGTTGGAAGATACAGATCCTGAAGTCCAAGCTAGTGCAGCAGGAGCACTGATGTTTGCTACGATTAAACCTCAGGGTGAGAGACAGAGGCTGTTTTTTTGGGAGGCTTTCTGGAAACCCAATTCTAAGGCAACTTAGTAACAAAACTTGTGTGTCCCCCACCCTCCGAAGTCCTCAGTTTCTGATAGAGTTAAAGCTCTTTGAGAAGCTATAAGATTAAGATGCTTTATATCTGTCTGAAGCAACTATTGTTGCTCCTCCACAGTGTCTAGGAGGGACAGTATTTCACATTTCATTGACCTCAAGTAGATGAAGAGGTTTGTGCACCTCACCTGAGTCATCTCCCTCCAAAGGAGAACATTTTCTGTGCAAGTCCAGACCACAAAGAAATCCACATACCTGAAGCTCCTCTGAATCACCAGCCCTCAACAGTGGAGTGCTACTTTCTGGAAGTGCTTTTGGTGGTTAGAGGCAGTTTCTGTCTCACAGCTGGGAGAGGAATGAATATTAATAAGGTCTGTAGCTCTCCCAGGTAACTTACATGACACTGAAAATACTAACTGCTAAATTTCCAGGGTGATCAATGAGTAATTAGACATAAAAGACTCTTAATAACAGCAGTTGTGTTCCAGTCCTCCTCTGCAACCATCCCCCTGGCTTCTGAAGACAACACAGGAATGGATCTCAGTGTTTGAAACATCTTTAAAAATAAAAGAATGGAGGATGTTCTTAAAGGCATCTACACCCCACACCCCCTCCCCCAAACAGTTTATCCTATCACTCAGTGCCTCATATATTCCTAGATAATTTGTTGCAAATGGAATAATAATGTGCAAGGCAGATAATGAAGAAAGGTGGTTTTTTTTCTCTTAAAAATAGACAGCTGGCCTTGGTCTTCAAAAGAAACACATGTTCTACCTGTGTGCACCGCACCCTCTGGGGTGGTCAGAGCTGTAGCTGGGCAGGGAGTAGAATGTAGCAACTGAAAAGCACATTGGTTGTATGTAATAACACATTTAAAAGCCAGTTTATTTCTCCACAGGCAGATTCTCAGCCCTGAGTGCTGAAGCCATTCCACCTTTACTCAAGCTGGTTGCTGAGGAAACCAGCACAGCCCGTCTGAGTGCCATCAAAACCCTCACCATGCTGGCTGAGCTACCAGAGGGCCGCAAGACTCTCCTAGAGCATGCAGACACCTTTCAGCAGTGTCTGAATGATCCCCGAGAGGCAGTGACAAGAGCTGCAGAGACTGCCATCAGTGTCATCAGATGGAAACCTTTCTGAAGGCGTGATGCTTCATAGAGATCTATTGCCCTCTGTTGTTGTCTGGCTGTAAAAGTTGCATGATTACATGAGACCTTCACAAGCAAAGCTCTCTTCCTCTGTTACTCTGGAGGGGTTCCACCCAGGAGGTCACTTGGCAACAGCTTCACATCTGTATTGCAGGTCATGAGCAGAACAGTGGGCAAAAAGAGAAGTCAGAAAAATCTGGAATTCTGTACTAGGAGTTATTTCCTCAGTTATCAAGATTTTCCTGTGATACAAGAAACCAATCCTTTTTTGTTTTCTTCACAATGTTATCTCCTTTTTTTTCTTGGAAACCTCAGCCTATCAAACATTAATCAACAACTAATTATATTAGAAAGAAAGGTTCATAATTAACCTCTCCAGCAGTCTTGTCTATGCTGAGAAATTGACCTAATGACGGGAATTTACATGAGTTTTGCTGCAAACATTTGTCGAACAGGAGATTAGAACCATGTAGAGTATCATCACAGAAAAAAAGCAATGCCAATGTCACAAAAGAGCTTTCCTGGGAGAATTATGAGACTTTCCCAGCCTAAAATATCACCAAATACTTATCAGCACCCATCTAACAAATGGAGTTGCTGACAAGACTTGCCAGCAGTGAATCTGTTGGAGATGGACCCTGCTGCCCTGGGCTAAGAGCACCTCAGCCTAACCCTGTCCCTGTGGGGAGATTTATCCATGTGACACTCCCACACTTCATGACTTCAGTCATCAGCTGTCAAGTCAATGACTTCTCGAGTCAGTTCTTTTAGGAGCAGCCCTCACCTCGTTGCGCAGCCCCTTCTGAGCCCCTCTTGCTGTGAGTGTCAGCAGCCTCTCCCAGAGCTTTAGCTCTGGCGTTTGTTCCCATGTTTTTAAGCTGGTAAGGATCTCAACAGGTGGCTTTTCTCCTTCCACGTGCTTGCAGCCAGGCTTGGGGTTGCCACGTGCACTGTCCATGCTTAGGGCAAAAGGAAAATAAGTCAGAAAGACTTTACTAGGGTAGCCCTTGGTAAAGCTCTGCTGGGGGCAGACCCCACTGAAACTGGTTACAGTGAGGAACAAAAATGCCTCTGTACTTGTGCTAGTACTTGGTATTTTGTAGTTTCATATAGCTGTAACCCATTCCCTGAGTACAGGAATTAGCAAATATAATGGAAATGGAAGTGTCACAGAACTGAATAGTTTTGTCATTGCAGCTCACTTTTGGTGGATGAGGAGGGGGCGAGAGGAAAGCTGATCCTAATGTTACAGTCTAGCTCTACAGGAGCTGGACAAGATGATCTCCAGAGGTGCCTTCCTTGTGTGTTGTATGACTAACAGCTGTCTAAACAGAGAGATGAGCAGATAAACAGAACAGAGAACTGAAAATGTCAATTCCCTCTTTTGGAAAAATGTGTTTGTTTGTTTTTCTTTAGAAAACTCAAGAGCTGTTTTTTTTTTTTTTTTTAAGAAATCTTTGTACTTCATAGAATTGAGAATAACATAGAAAGTTCAAGCTGTCTGTAAGAGCAAGCCTATCCAATCAGAGATAGTGTCTCCAGAAAGTAAGGTAGATCCTGTGTTTAGAGCTGATGGGCATTTCAGTAGCATTTCACCCGCTGTGTAGTCAAGGCAGGTCACTCCACATCGGTTGTAAATGTCTCTGTCTGCAGCTGTGAGTATGCAATTTAAGAGGTACCAACACACTAAAGCAAGCTAGCAGGACAAGTGCTGGCCATTCTCAGCCACCAGGAGAGTTACGATAGTGCAGCTGACTTGGCTTCACAGGAAATCCCATGTAGTTTTCACTCAAGTTTTGCTCTCACATGGTGTTTTTCTATCTAGAAATGACTAAGCTGTAGCTGCAAAGAAGCTGCATCATCTCTGTAAGGGGTTATTTGTCAGGGTTGCTTTTCTATTTTAGCAAGTCACTGCCACACCACAAACCACATTACCCTTATACAAAACAAACTTGTTCTGTTAGGAGCAATTGAAGTGAAAAAGTTTCTCTTCCATAACCTAACCAAAGGGTGAATTCCCTCTTCTCCTATAAAGATGTGACTTTAAAGTACCAAGTCAGTTGGATTCGTTCCCTTTGAGCATGATCTTGGCAGAACTCTGCCTTTTACACACACTTTGCATACACGAGGCCCTCACATGGAATACTTATTGATGTCAGAGTGCATCCAATTCAATAGTAGAGGACCAGGCAGCTTAATAACATGCTAAACGTTCATCACAGGACTAGGGAACAACAGAGAACAGTAGTCTCATCTACACTGACAAAACAGGAGATTGCCACAGGAAAACGCAGCAACGACGATGACAATTGTTTTACCTCAGTTCCAGTCTTCTGTCACAGCCTCTCCTGGCAATTCAGGTATCACACTTCAGTGAGTTTGCAAAATAATTAGCTTGTTCAGATGTAGAAGTAAGACCATCCGGCCTGAACTGCTCTGACTGGAAGACATTTAGGAGACATACAACCTTGAATACTGGGTTCTGAGCATCTGCCTGATTGTTGCTTTAAAGAGGACAGAAACTGTTTCCGAATAAGGCTCTACATGGAATCCATGTTCTTGTCTTACACCCTGCACAGAAAAATGGAACAAAGCTTAACTGAACTCTGACATCCAGGTGCCTTTCCACGTCAGCTTTCGTCTCAGCCATTCTCTGGCACTATCACATCCAAGAACACAACATACAGGGGGGTTAGACTTGATGATCTCTGGAGGTCCTTTCTGACCCCTAACATTCTGTGATATGATATTTCAATCAGAGCAGCAATTCCACTTGGCTCTATTGACCACAGACTGCCTATGCAGATGCTGAAATGCAGCATCTGTATATGGGAACAGCCACAAACCACTGCTGTACTTTATACTTATAAAGCTGTATTTACTGGGAAAAAAAGGTTACAGATGTAATTCAGATTCACATACTGAGGGCTGTGGTTCAGCTTGCTGCAATTTATTGAAAGGACTGCAGATAATAAACATTTGCAGGAGGCACAGCACAGTATTTGACAATGGCAGCAGAGCTGAACAGCCTCGGTGATGCAAAGGATGCTAGAGAACACACAGTAACACAGAAACAGTCCCATTTATCACAGCACACTGGTCTGTAATCTGTGATGTTTCTAGAGCTGTAATATCTTGGTGTCCAAACATTTGGTTCCTCATACCAGGAGGCCAGTGGAGGAGTGTATACAGCAAAGGCACAGTGCAGCAAAACCCACCACAGTGTGGGAGACCAGGGAACAATGCACAGATCTATCTGATGTAGCACAGAAATATCACACTAGCTCCTTAGTAATCCTGACTATACAGAACCTGAATTAAGAGGTAAGTTTTTATTCTACAAAATCATTTTTCAGGGTATATTAAAATATAACACACAATTGCTCCCATAGGAATATGCTGATTCCTAAATCTCCTTCCTAAAATAAGTTTCTCAGCCACAGTCTGGTATCCTAAATGTCCCTTCATATTCTTCATAAAGACCTCGGAGATCTCAAATGTAATTTAAATTAGCTAAATAGGTAAAACTAACTAAATGTCCTGATGTATTTGGTGTAGTTTTTTTCCTTGAGAAAATGTAGACATGCTTTCTTATTAAGTTATTTTGCAGGAACTAACATACCCTGTTTTATTAGAAGATATAACAAATATGGAAGAAATATAATTTTATTTGGCTTATACTATAGGCCACCCATATATTTAGAAACAAGGCACAAAACCAACATGTAGATATCACGACCATCCACCCTGTTAACAGTTACTAAATGTATGATAACTTTTTGCATATGTTTAAGTGTATTTCTGAATGTTCCTGTTAAAGCAGTGACTATAAGATGGGAGACGAGATTATTATAAAAGAGTAGTTGGGAAATCAAAGCAAACAAGAATAAGTCCTTGAAAAAGTTTTCACAAATAGAGAAACTAATGGTGAAAGCAGGAAATAGGTTGACCCAAAACTATTTGGAAGAGAGACAAAAAACAACCCAGCACCAAGAACAGAAATAACACGGTAAAAAAAAAAAAAATACAGAGCATAGGCCTGGATTTTTATGTTTGGAACTCTCAGGACTCTTATTCATTATTTAACATGTTCTATAGTTTAACAAAAAAGCATTTAATGAATTTTCACATTAAAAAAAAATCCTTAATCATAAGGATTTTCTTTTCCTTCTGAGGTACACTAAGTCTCGAAACAAAGGAGAACAAGATGTACTGAAGTTAGAGTAACAATATATAAATAACTGATAACTGATCATGATATGATGTCAGATATCACTTAACTGTTGAGTACAGTGCTGCCCTTAAGACAGTGCACAAAATGAAAAATGCATCCGAAAATTCTCCTACTTATGTTCTGGTAAAACAAAAAGGTCACCTGTCCTAGCATGTCTGAGGCAGGAACAGTTTGGGTCACGTTCCTCCAGACCTCACCACCAAGACAGTGACACCACAGGCATCCTCTCCTTCTGAATTGCTTCATACACATTATAAATACTTAAATGAACACGTCAGGATCTGGTGCTCTCATACATGATAATTAAACTCATTGTTTCAAACGAGACGCTGTGTTTACAGCAAGCCTTTGTTTTTAGCACTGTGTGCTCCACAGTGCTCTACACTACAATGACATTAGCGCCTGTGTGGATTTTTAACATCAATGAAAAATGATTTGTCTCTTTAGCTTGAAGCCAACAGTGATTAGAGCCAAGATATAATTAATGTTGTCCTGGGTCAATACTGGAATTAATTCAGTTACACTCTACACAGACCAAGTTTTCAAATCAGCTGCATAACAATTCTCTCAGTGATATTGGGAAAACACAGGACAGCTCAGGAGAAACAGGACCTTCCTGTATGAACTTTGTGTTGCACCCAGGCAGAGCTTTGTTGTGTTTTTTTTTTTGTTTGTTTTTGTTTTTGTTTTGTTTTGTTTTTTGTTTGTTTGTTTGTTTTTTGTTTTTTTGTTTTTAAGCAGTTTCTAGAAGGTTAAGAACATTATGGCTCTTTGTTCTTGCAACTATGGACTCATTTCCATGTCCACATTTGCTTTCAGAAGTCCAGGAGTTGGAAACCATTCTGTTCTGCTCTAGAAAATGGCAGGGTTTAATTCTGTTCATGTTCTAAAGCAGGGAGTATTTTTGCTTTCCACCACTATGTTTTCCACTTAAAAAACAAACAAACAAACCTATTAAAAATGCATAGAAGCAAAAGATTTGTCCAAGGACAAAATAGAGTCTGTGAAAATCAGGTTTGTCTAATTACATTAAACCAGAAGGGCAGAATGTCTTTTCTGTGGCTACACACAAAATTAAAATGCTGAAAAATTCAAACCCAGGGCCTATTTTTAGCCAGACAAAATTTACAATTTAAATAAATACTATTGTAATAATTTAAGATACTTTGACTATAAGCTAAGTTTCTAAAGCTATTGGCTTTGATACTGTAAGTAAAATTGCTGCACAGAATAAGAATGAGCTTACACTTACCTCAGCCTGAAGTTCCTCCACTTACTTTAAGAAAAGTGGGAAAGCTGCTGACCCAGGGCACATTCCACTGCTCTAGCCTTAAGAGCTCCCAGGTGAGGAGAGGGTGGGCTCCAGAAGTTCTTTTTCATAGCTTCCTGTGGTAGGTGACAAGGTGTTCTTCAGGAGGGACAAAAAAGGCAACCTATTTTATTAATAAAAAGGGTAACAAGCTCAGGCACTGCTGCTGTCTTTCATCAGAACAACTAGTAGTTGTTGGAGCGAGTGCAGTTTTACTCCATCCTGTAAATTCTCTAGCACAGGCCTTCAATACACACCCCATGAAAAAATGCTATGAATTGCCAAGTAAAAACCAGGGGGGGTTTTTTTGCACCATTGATCTTTCTCAGTGGTGCATTGCCCTCTGTTGTTAAATGTGTGTTACTGTATCTGAAGTTAACCAGAAGGGAAGCTCCCTAACCACTGCTCTCTTCCCTTGCTTTCTTGCCACCACATGCATAAGACCATTAACTAAACTTAAATAAAAGCAGCAGCCTTCCTCAGAACAGCTTTGCTGTGACCCTGTCACGGACCCTGCTCTGTGCAGTGTGACTCTCTGTCCCCAGGAATACCAGCTTTAAACGCTCCTCCAGCTCAATGCTGCAAACCAATCCACTCAAGTGTTCCTCAAAGACAATAACCAAGGCTATACAGCTTTTCTCCCAAATGCCAGTCATCACTGCTGGTACATACATTTATCATTCCTCTTTGCTCTCATTTTTGTGTCAGCTCTCACTTCATATAAACGCTTCTAATTTTACCAGTTAGTTAAGGAAGGGATCTGAGCAGGAGTGGAGCCTGTTTGCAGGGCAGCTGCTGCTGGTGCTCTGATCACAACGATCGCTTGCACCTGAAGAACTCAGCCATGCTGAGTCTGTCCTAATTCACCACAGACAGATGTCTTGGTTAAAACCAAAGCATGCTTAGCACAGGTATGTTCCAAGTTAAGCCACAGACCTTCCCTCCCCTAGCATTTCAGTGCATAAGCTTTTTCAATAACAAAATAATAAACCCAAAATCTCAGTTCAAAGAACAGAGTGTTCTCATGATCATTAATAATTAACATTTGTGAGATAGTTGGATATATTTGTTATGGCTGATACAGAAAAAAAAAAAAAAACATAAATTAAAAGTTTGACTTGGCCTGAAATTTATGTAGTAATTCTTAAATGGAAGATCTGATTTGTTTAGTGTGTGTTCTTTATATACCAGTGTTGTAATTGGCTTACAGTGCTACTAGGTGGATTTTATTTCATTTTGTGCAGTCAGTTAAAATAATTCTGGGTATCTAACTAAAGTCTACTCAAATGAGCTGTGGCCCTATATCTTACCTGACAGGATAAGCTGGGATGGCTCAGGGTCAGCTGCAATAGACTGGTTTTATGCTGTACATTGTGCTATTAGCCAGAGCTATCGCTGGAGTGTCCCCACAAACCTGAAGTATTTCCAACTTACAGTCAGACATGGGGAACAAGCATGTGCTCACTGTTCCCATTCCTAAAGCATGAGAATGCCCAGGACAGTTCAAGCTACTTTTTGAGTTTTCTCTGAGAGTGTCCCACAACAACACCTGTAACTTGGACACATTTGCTCTCCAACTGAAGAAAAGTCACTTTTTCTCCATTAAAATCATGAAACTGCCTTTGAATGCAATAGCTACCAACCTGTGGTGGCATTTAAGTATTAATTTAAACATTAAAAGTTTTATAATCTGTCTACAACGTCAGGTAACTTTTCTGTGAAATTCTACAAAATTAGAGAATTACTTTAAGCATCAAACTTTATGTAGACATTTGAACTCTGCCCTCTACAACGTTCAGTTTTCAGACCAGAACAAAACCAGTATGCTGAGGACACACAGTGAACATCCCTGGGAAACAGAGAGTGAGTATTTCAAAATTCTTTAATCCTGGGGAGGAAAATGAAGCAATGGTGCCTGATTGATCAAGAGGTCATCTAAAGGCTGCTCAGCCTGCCAGGAAATCACTTGTGTTATTTCTCTTTATCCAAATGTCTGTATATTTTCACGAGATTTTTCTTTTTATAACAAAGCAAGATAATGAGGGATCTGGGCAATCCTTATTAAAGTCTTCCTTGTTTGGCTGTCATTACTATTACCCAGAGCCAAAGTCTAGACACCAAATTAAGCTTTGCTGTCCTCCATCACATTATATAAAAATCTCATCATTTTGTAGACACCAAACACTTCAAAATATACAAATACTTTAATACATACAAGTCTTCATAGCCCATTAAATATAATTAATTCCGTGGTCTTTAAAGTACTCTATTAACTGTAAGAAAAGGGTTTTCACTGGTACTTATAGAGTATTGATTTGATCTGGCCTATGCAAAAGGTTTCAGTACACTGCAGAGATTACACTGAAGAGCAGCAATCCTACTAGAATCCAGAGCACTTTGGTTTAGATCCACATGAAGAAAATATACTGCCAGAAGGATGTGAAGTAAGGGTGATTAAAGCTAGAGGAGCTAGCAGCGTTGTGGTGTAGCACACACAAAGGGACTACACAGGCTTCCCGTTGAGATGCTCTTATTGCATGTCTAGTGCGTCGTGCCGGAGAATCCAGGGCTCCAGCCAGGAGTTGTGCTGCAGCTCCTCCACAGCCACCGGCGTCTTCTCTTGACACCCGATTCCCCAGGAAGCTGAATTAGGTGATAGGAAGATCTATTGCTTTCTGCTCTGAAGTGTTTATCTTTTCCTGTGTCTCCAGCTGGTATCAAACTTATCAAGTGGAGACAATCAGACTGGCGTAGCTGCTATCCCACAGCTGTGACTGCACTGTTAACTCACACTGTCACACAGCTTGAACTCTCTTTCTCAATGAAATCTTCAGTAGCAAGATTTATAGCTTTGCAGAGAAGCAAACAGTACAGAGCCCTCAAATGCACTTGGACGGAAAATGCAAACCCAGCACTGTGACGTTTTGCACTTCTAACAATGTGGGTGGATTGTTCTGTAGCACCATCCATAAAAAGAGGCAATACATTAACACCAAGCCCACAATAAAGAGGTCCTAGTGACTGTGGGTAGAGATTAACTTTGACATACCCAGATGGGAATGGATCAGTAAGAAGTAAATACATATATACACCACAGAGATCTATTTTAAATATATATAATATATATAGTGCATATATATAATGTATTGCATGGGTATATATATATATATATATGTATTTTGTATAAAAAAAGCTTCACATTCAAGTATAGATATGTATTAAAATATAAAGAGGAGGATCTCTTAAAGTTAACCTTAAACAGAGAATCTATTGTAAGCAGAATTCTTTTTAAGATAATCAAAACATTTTCCCTAATTTCAAAAGGCAATCAGTTCAGACAGTTCAGTGTTCCACTGATTACTGAGAAACACAACACAATGACAAGGGATAAAAATGGGGAAAAAGATATAATGGAAAGTTAGATATAGTGTCAAATACATCAATATATACATAAATTCCTAAGATATCCCATGCTTGCAGAGAACAAAAATGATTTTTAAATTCAAATTCTAAATATGGTCCCTCAGTTGCTGTGGGTTTTTTTGGTAACCAAATTATCATAGTCAAAGGAAAAAGAAACTTGAATGGTCAGAAGAAGGGCTGAAAATGAACCCTAAAATGTAGTTCACAAACTGACAGGAAATATGGCTCATACAGCCTTGTTATGCACCTGAAATATGAAATGTATGAGTAGAGAGAATATTGGAAGGAAGCTCTGAACCTCTAGCTCTCAATTGGCTCAATGTCTAAACAGAAATTCTCTCTCTTGAAATTCCAGTGGCCTTTGTCTTTTCGAAATTATGATCACAAAATCACCAAGTAAATCACTCTGATTTTTTACAAACATAGACAATGAAAATACTAAATGTGTCTAACCCTGTAAATCTACAAGTCATTGTTTTTGCTTGACAATTCAGTACTATCTCAGAACTGTAACCAGAGGTTTATGCAAAGAAGGCATGACAAAATACAGCCACAGTCAACAGGATGATGCCATTGATGTTCACAACATTTCTCCAAAGTGGCACTTCACTTGTGTCAGTCAGTTTCTTCTTCAGTGCTTCTTCTTCTTCCTTGCTCAGTTTGGGTCCTTTTTGTTGATCTAAGCCACAGAACCAGTTGTACACCTTCTTAAAGCATCCCGGTTCTTCTTCACTTTCCTCGTTAACTGGAAAGAATCACACACTGGTCATGAAAGGTAAGCATGAACCACTGCAAGCCCTAGGAGATCTCTGTGACTGAGGACATTCCTACATTTAATACAGAAGCTCTGATTTATGGGTATAATTACATGGGAAGATTTTAATACAGGCAAGTTAACACTGTGTTTTCACGACTCGCCTGGAAAAAGGATGTTTTTCCTACGTGTTGCAAGTGAGCATTTTGCAACCTAGACACTTGGTCTGGTATTGGAGAAGGAAACCATGCTGCAAAGCTTAAAGTACATTTATTGCAATACTTTCTACACTTTTAATTAAAAGGCAAATAAATGAATTTGAGGATACTTATGAAAAGGAACTTGGCAGCAGGACCAGAAGCCCAGCAAAGAGAGCAGGTGGTTTTGTCCACATGGATGACTGGCAAGTCGCTTTCATGGTGCCTTGCACCAGACCTTTGCTCCTTCAATCCTGGTTACTACCCACTGTTTCCAGGTTGCACTCCAAATGCCAGGGGTGCAAGCAGTTCTGCCAGCACGCAGCACCTCTGCTGAGTGGCTCCACTCCTGGTCCTGGAACAGCCACCTGGCTACCAAGAGAACAGGATTTTCTCCCTTCAAATCCACTTTGCTTCTGATTTACACTGAGCTTGATAGGTGGGTCAAAAGGCAGCTTGGTAGCCATTGAAGTATGCGGGGTTTGAGGCTGCTTGTTACGGGGAGGGAGGGTGTCTCTGAATAGCAAGCATGTTACTGTTCCTTCAGGAATGCAATGTGGATACTCAAATATGTTGATAGCATCTGTAGCTATTACAACAGAAGTAATTCAGCAGTTACCTGATTCCTGATCCTTTTCATCAGCTTTCTCCTTCTCCTCATCTGCATCCAGATCGATACGTTCCTCTTTGCTGTTCCGCAAAGACCAGCACAAGCGGTAAAGCTGCCGGGACACAAAACCAGCTTAGGAACCTACAGCCCTGCTGCACAGACAGTCTGGCCAACGGTTAGGGTTACTAGGAGTCACTGAAGATTTGTGACAGAGAAATTAAGACATTTGAATTTTTGGATTGTAAAATAAGACTTTTTGGCAATTGGGGCTGATCTGTTCAAGAGCAGTTCTGGGGAAAAGGCCCTGGGAGTCCTAGTTGGTAGCAGGATGACCATGAGCCAGCAGTGTGCTCCTGCAGCCAAGAAGGCCAGTGGCATCCTGGGGTGCATTAAGAGGTACATGGTCAGCAGGTCGAGGGAAGTCATCCTTCCCCTCTACTCTGCCCTGGTGAGGCCCCCCTGGAATACTGTGTGCAGTTCTGGCCTCCTCAGTTCAAGAAGGACAAAGAACTTTTGGAGAGGGTCCAACACAAAGCTACTAAGATGGTCAAGGGCCTGGAACACCTGTCATGTGAGGAATGGCTCAGGGAGATGGGGACGTTTAGCTTGGAGAAGAGGAGGCTGAGGGGAGATCTTATTAATGCTTATAAATATCTAAAGAGTGGTTGTCAGGAAGAGGGGGCAAGGCTCTGCTCAGTGGCATCTGGTGATAGGGCTAGGAGCACTGGCCACAAGATGGTGAACAAGAGGTTCAGCCTGAAGATAAGGAAGAATTTCTTTATGATGAGAGTGACAGAGCACTGGAACAGGCTGCCCAGGGGGTGGTGGAGTAGCCATCTCTGGAGACTTTCAAGGCCTGCTTGGACGTGTTCCTGTGTGTTGTACTCTAGGTGATCCTGCTCTGGCAGGGGGGTTGGCCTGGATGACCTTTTGAGGTCCCTTCCAGCCCCTAACATTCTGTGAATCTGTGACTATTTCCTTTCTTTTCTTACAAGAACAAGTGGGTAGATGAAATGTCAGGAAATAATACACCAAGTACCAGTGTTTAAAACTAGTGGTTTCATTGAGTTCCATTTCTTGAGAAGCAGGACTTCAGCAATACTCACATGTACATCAGGAATGGGCTTAGTCATGAAGGAGACTCCCAGGATAACAATGGTGGACACCCCAAAGAGAATAATTGCAAAGTAAAGGTAGTGGATCCCACAGATGATGAACGGGCAGTTGGAAGGGTTCACACAGTTGCCAGTTCCATAGGCAAACTCTGCAATCATTCTACTGAGGCCAGTTAGCAGCCCAATCATCAGGCCCCAGAAGGCACCCTGCAGACAAAGTGACAAAGTTATCCAAATGAGTCATTTCAGGCATGGAAATAAGCTGTAAGCCCTGAATAGTTGCTGGAGAAAACATGGAGGCAGTTGGATGTTACATTGCCTTTGGCACACAGGCTTTAACCCAGATACTTTCAGTGACCACATTTACAGCTCAACGTATTAACCATTGTGAGTGGCAATGATCAGCAGCTCAGAGAAAGAATCTGGAGAACACCATCTCCACGCAATGCTTCCTCACCCAAGACAGGCTCTAGCCACAAGCTACACATCCCAAGGGTTGTTCTCATATCTTTTTATCTTTGAGAGCTAAATCCCTGATAGCTCTATCATGATGCAACCAGCTAGGAAGTTTGTGTCATTCCTCCTGAAATATGTGTCTGGTTTATCTTCTGGTGATTTGGTAGCAATTAGTTAAAAGTTAATTCTTGATACTTTAGTGGAAGTTTTGCTGGATGTTTACTGTAGGGGAGATGGAATGCTGTAATAGGTTACCTAGAGACACTGTCAAGTTTCCACCCCTGGAGATGTTTAAAACCCAACTGGACAGGACCTGAGCATCCTGCTCTTGTTAGCCCTGCTTCTGAGTAACAGGGCGTGGACTAGTCCAGAGGTGCCTCCCAATCTCAATCACTCTCTGGGTTTGTGAAGTCACAAAACTGATGATCGTAATACAAATCTATAAATTCTGGTTAAAAAAAAGCTAGGTTTAATGCTGAGTTTAAGAACAAAACAGTTCTAATTATTCAATGGTCAAAGTTACAAAAAGGTTTGAGGTAGAACAAGAGAGTTAATTCTGTTTCTGGCAGAAATAAGAATGATTCTGAACAATAAATATTGATAAATCTTATAAGTAATTACAATATTGGAGTTTATCTTATGCCAGGCTCCAACTCTCACAAGCTTTGATGCTTGTCTCCCCTATTTACTCAGCTTTATAGTGTACAGTGTACACAAATAGTGAGTTCTTGCTCAGCTAAAATTCCAGCTGAAGTCAATGACAGATTTAAAGGAAGGGCACAAAGATTTAACCCCTTTGTGAGGTTTAGCCATATTGGGATGGGCTTTGGAACATCCCTGGTGTGTAAAACAGGCTGTTCGTGGATATACACACAACCAACCACTGAACTAGTCTTGAGAGAAAATAGGGTGAAAAAAGTTTGAGTCATATTCAAAAGCCTTCTCTCTCTAGGCTTCCTCATTGAACTCATCCTCCTTGGAGAGAACCTGAGCAATAGGCAAGTATTGGAAACTGAATTTCTGAGTTTTCAGAATGTCTGAGATCCCAGTTACTATGGCTGGCCTATAGTCCCATCAAAGCATGTGACAGACCTCATGCCTTCGGGGTTACTTAGTTACAATACTTCTCAGGTCACTGCTCTAAGAATCAAAATCAGTGATTCCCAGACCAGGTACTAAGAGCAATGGAAAGCAATGCATGAAACAACAGCATGTTTGTTTAAAAGACAGGTGCCAAAATATATAGAGATCAAGAGGAAGGTGAAAGGTGATACATTTGGTAAAGCAGTTTGATGACCAATATCCTAAAAGTTTACTTTGAAATATGTCTCCATAAACTATCGATATGACACAATTCTTGGCAAAATTATAGATAACCTAAGTTTCAGAGCTATCTAGGAATTCCTAGGTGACTGGTTATTTATCAGGTTGGCAAAGAACATCTCCAAACTCATCTCTGAGACCTCAGGCCCTGGAGTATGGAAACACAGAATCCCTGGGCTGTAGCAGGATTAATACAAAGAGGAAGAAGCTGATAATAAAAGACACCAAAACAAAAAGCAGTTCTCCCAGTGCCTCAAGGAACAGAGCATGCCTGCTGTGTACGTACCTGCTCATTGACCCGTTTGCAGAAGACAGCGAGCAGGAAGACAGCAGCAATGGGAGGTCCCAGGTAACTTGTAACCGCCTGGATGTAATCGAAGAGCTGCCCATTTTGAGCTGACTGCACCACAGGAACCCAGGCTATGCTGATGCCAATTAAAAGTAACATAAATGCCCTGCAAACACAGCCAGATATTCAATTAGCCACCTGCTTAGAAGCATCTATCGGAAAGAAAAAAACAGAAATTGATCAATAATATAAAAGTCCATTTTGTATTTCAAGCAGAAAAATCAATGATAATGCCCAATTAACATTGAACAAAGAAAAGAAATCCACATTGGACACTGTCTGTCAAATATCAGGCAGTGTACAGCTAAACATGCAATCAAAGCATAAAAAATCACTTTTTTCCTTTGTTCGTTACATCTAGAGACAAACCAATAGCTGATCAATTAGAAGAACTAGTTGATTAATGCTGTAGTATAGTGTAGCATAAAGCCTATGAAGATATTTTAAAATGGTT